TTTTTTTTTTTTTTAACTCTTGGGGGGGGGGGACCTTTGCTTTGGGGAAATTTTAGGGGTCTAAACAGCCCCCTAAAATATTTCCCTTTTAAAATAGTAAAAGAAATTGAGGACACAAAGTCCTCAATCTCTTTTTCTATAGCCCCAGTTATAAATTAATGGAAAGTACAGAGGCTTCCCATTTGTTCAGAAAATATTTATTATCATCCAGTTATGAATAGGGAGAAGCCACTGTACTGAGTGCTACTACCCATTCAGAAATTCATGAATGAACAGGAAGTGATGTAAAGCATTTCCTGTTCATTCATAACTGGGGACACATAGTACTATGTGTCCTCAGTTATTTACAGGATACAGTCCGTGTATCCATCGCACTCAGAGCCGTTGCTCCAAAAATAGAGGGTGGGTGCAGCAGGTGTCAGCAGCTGGCTTCCGACAAAATATCAGTAAAGGATGGAGACTGGCACTCCAAAGCAAGCATAGTACGTGCTTGCTTTGGAGTGCCGTGGAGCAAGCACAGTACGTGTTTAATTATGTACTAGTTGCAAATAGAACACTCTATACAACGTTTCAGGGTCTCACAGGATCCCCTTCATCAGGCAAACAAGTGATCAATGCAAGTGAAACACAGGAATCTATATACACACCAACAGTGATTGTGAACCAATCCAAAAGTCTCACTGACATCACATTCCCTCCAAAAACATACAAAATACAGTAATCATGCACATTGCCCATGGGGCTTCGTGTGTCACACTGGGAGGATCACCAAGCACAAGCACTTTATATTTTTTTGATTTGAAGAACGACTTATGTACTTTGGTTGTTTTTTCACATTTATCACTGACAGAATTTATTGTTTTTTTCATCCACATTTATTTAGTCACATTTATTTTTGGATGGTTGATATCCAGTTATCAATTATGTAATTTAGTTACATGTATGTATGTCTGGTTAATAGAAAGCCTGTAGTGAAATACGTTGAAGGCTGGACCCACTGCATAATCTATGAGAAACATTATATAAATGCAATATAGATATTGTTTAAAGCCAAGTAATTTTAAAATAGATGAGACTGTATATGATGTGCATGTGTGATCCGGGGGGGCGCTATGTTTTGGGATAAGAACCTGATTTCTGGGGTATGTTTTTTACATTGGTTTTATGTACACCTCTATTAATCATGTAACTTTTTAAAAAATATGAAATAATAAATTATTGGTTTTCATGAATTGATTAAGAATATTATGTATTTGATTACAACCCGTATATCCAGATGTGACACCTTAAAAGCCCCATGGGTTTTCTTTTGTTTGGTATTCATTTATTAGTGGTGTGGTGTCCTAATTTTCTTTGGTGGTTCAACTAATTCTGTACACATAACACTGAGGTGTACTGATCCTCTGCCGCTCGGCCACGCACACAGGGGCAGCACAGCCCGCAGCTTTTCCTCTGGGTCCCCGCTGCTCTCCCAGGGTGCAGCGGGGATCCGAGGAGAAGTGAAGCACTATAGACGGTGTGGTGGGGGGGGGAGGAGGGAGCCGCTGTCACAGCAGCATGGCTGAGCTGTGAGGAGAGAGAGCCCCCAGCTGTCAGATCCTGGCTGAGCACCTCTCTCTCTCTCTCCTCACCGCTCGGCCATGCTGCTGTTACAGCGGCTCCCTCCTTCGCCCCCCCCTCGCCGGCTGAAGTGCTTCACTTCTCCTCGGATCCCCACTGCATACAGATTTGATTTCTCTTATACACAATTAGTTTCTCCAAATAATAGTATGTATTGCTGATTTTCCTTGGCTATGTAGGCTGGATTAGTATTGTGACCCTTCTAATGCTCTGAATAGATACAAGCTGGCACTCTGAATGTACATAGTGCTCTGAATGGTGGGTCTAGTACTGTGAATGTAACTGAATACATGTTGCTCCAGATCATCTACTCTCATACCATGAAAGTTCCAGTGTTCTGATTGAATGGCTCGTCTCTCATACATTGGCCAATGACTAAAAGCTAATGTTGTGAATACCGCTGAGCCCCAATTTTATAAAATGCTCAACTATAACTTACTTGTAAAAATGAATCAAGGCAACTGGACTTGCTGTATTTTTCTTGAAGACGTTTCGCTAGTCACAATTCAGAATTGAGAAAGCTGTCCGGATGACCAGCAACATTAAGAAGAATACAGCAAGTCCAGTTGCCTTGATTTTTTTTTTTTACAGATATACCATGACCAGGATGAACGAGAACCTTCACAGGCTCAACCTTAACCTCCTAATAAACTACAGGTATGTTCTAATCCTGCCTCTGAGAGCCTGAGCAAACTGGACACAATATGTGAAAGCAAAACGTTTCTTCAACCACAAAAAAAAATAAAAAATTACGTAAAGATGTTCAAATTGACTATATGTGTGTGTCGTTATAGGAAGAGCAAACAATGCTATATGTTATAATCTGCAAAGTTATTCCACACAGTGACTTGCATTTTATAGCTCATTCATAAAATGAAGGTTACAGGGACTCTGGCTTCAGAGCGCTAAGCACATTTGGAACTTTATAAATGTGCCCTCTCTTTTTAAATCAGCAGTATGGCTGTGGTGTGGCCTGCTAATTAAATGGACCCTTAGACTTATTAGCATTGAGGTACATAGAAAGGCAACCTATAGCAAGACTTCAGTTTAATTTATCATGATGCCACTAATGGACCGGTACTTGAACTTTTCCCTTATATTACATCCCTCTTCTGGCCACCTCTGGACATTTTTGGCAAAATTCAACAATAAAAATGTGAGGGGAAGCGTGTGCAGGTCAGTCAGGTCGGTCCAAAATTCAGGGAACTATCTCTTTTCTCTTGTTTGCAGGTGTGTATGGCTGAAAAGGCCATACACAATGGCCTCCGATAGAGCATTCCTTGTACAATAGGTTATCATTCTGGTGTGCTTAATACAGCATGATGTCTATATACAGCCCTACATGCATGCTCAAGTCACCATATACACTGAGCCTGGTTTGCTGTACTCGCCTCTGCTGCAGAAGACTGTTCTATCTCTCCTTATTTAAATCACTATAGACTAAATTCACAAAGCTAACACACCGGGTTAAGGATCCTTATAAGGATACTTATAAAGTCCAATCAGATTTGAAAATTACATTCACATTACTACAATAAAGATCCCTTTCCTTGTGTTAGAGTTTTGTAGAAACTGTTTCTAAGAAAAACCATGTAGAGATCAATGCTGCATTTCGGAACAAGGAAATAATATTTTCTAGAACTGCTTCTGGTCATTCTAACATAAAATTAACTGAATGACATTAATGGCTTTCATAGGATCATATTACCTTGGAGACTGTTGGGTTGGATAGCCGTATCCTCCGCCAAGTCCACCCGTTCCTTTCTGGGGCTTCTTATGTTTAGGGGTAGAAAGAGGACCTGGACTAAAAACCATATCTATTCTGGAGAAGAAGAAATGAAACAGGAATTTTTCTACGTATTCTGAAATGTTAGCTGTAGAACAAGTCAATGAAATGAATTAAAGGCACAGCCTAAACTCAAGTAATATTTAGTAATAGGAATTACTAGAATGGCAAGATACAGCCCCTGGCTAGAATTTGTAGTCCAACAGTACGATCTCTTGACTCTGTTCCCATCAACCTGCAAGTTCTGGTGGTTTTCCCACCCAGTTTCATGTGTGCTGCATGCACATCAGTTGACAGGGATCATGATGATAGGAGGAGAGCACAGAGCCTATAGAGAGACTGAGAGGCCCATTTAAAACACAGAACTGATACCGCTATCGACTCAAAACCACAGTAACACTCCACATCGTGGCCTGCACCCATTCACAAAGTGCAGGCTGTGGTGTAGAGCCTGCAGTGGCCTACGGAATGCTCTCTACTTAACGGGGACTAGAGGAGAGGCCAGTCACATAATTTTGAATAGTCTTGTGACAAGGCTAGGTTCTCCTCCTATCTTCTCCCCCCCCCTATAAAGTGCATGTCAAGGAAAAATAGAAAAACCATATTGAGTACATCTCTGTAATACATGCACAGTTCCCCAAGATTTGTGCCTTGAAAGACCCCGCAAGTACAGTACAAATAACTGTTGATCTGGCAGAAATTTGGCATGATCCAACCTTACTGTCTGAGCCAACAACACAGTCTTTTTCAGCTTGCAAATCTTAAGCATGTAGTGTCAGCCCTGCTTACTTAATTTCTGATGAGTTACAAAGAACAGAGACATCTCCTCCTCTCCACAAACCCGCCATAAGCATAGGAAGTTATCAACTCACAAGATTTCTAGCAGAATCAACAGGTATTCTTTTTTCAATCATCAAACAGACATAACCAATTGCTTTCAATAGTGTATTTGGCAGACCAAAAGGAAGCAAATAAGGAATTAATTGTCAAAGTTTACATATATTTTAATTAATTTCAGAGGCCGTCCACCAGATTTGGAGTCTCAAAGCAACTGGAACCCAATGCACATTTTTGTGCATGAAGCATGTTTGTGCTTTATAAATGTGTAGTACATTATTTTTTTTAACCTTTTTTAAGCACGGGTATGGCTGCATTTAGTCTATACCCTTGGTTCTCAACTGGTGGGTCGTGACCCAAAAGTGGGTCGCGAACCAAGTGTTCGGTGGGTCGCCGCCTGCCTTACACTTTTCTAGGTGGGATGCTCCTCTGTCTTGCCCTAGCACAGCGCTGTCAGTTCTTGCGCCAAGCAGCCATTCAAAATATGCTACCCAGCAGTGTGTGTCAGCTTTAGGTGGGGTAGGCTGGGGCTATGGCCGCAGCCATTCATTTGAATGGTGCCCCAAATGCAGCTCCCACCCACAGTCCGTACGCCAGCACTAGAACACGTAGTGTGACTTGGATTGTGACCTAATGGCCAAGGACAAATGTGGGTCCTGAGGTTACACAGGTTGAGAACCACTGGTCTATATTACACCTTTATACATGGATTCCTGAGACTCAAAACAGTACAAGCAAATACAATTTGTATACTTTGTTGCCATACATAATTGTCAAAAGGACAGAATCCCCACAACAGCAGCTGACGGAGATTAAGAATTTCTGACACGTTAAGCCACAATATATCAAAATAATGGAATTTCATGAGAACACAAACCAGCGCTTATCTATTCTAAAAATATTGGGTTTACCTTGACTGGAGGTATTTAATCCTAGAGAGCATATCCAGATGTCCGGCAGAATATTGCTCTATCACATCTTTCACATCATAAGGCCGCAAAGTCTGCTTAAATTTCTTCTTATGAAGCAGAAATTGCATTATTCTGTGTAGAAAATAATGGGTCTAACACAGTTTTATGACATCAGCATAATAAAATACATCCAGTCCAACATCATCATAACAGCCAGGAACATTGTTAAAGCGAACTTGCCATTCACTTTAACCTTTGAAAAGTAGAAGTCCTGCTTCAGAGTAGGTAGCATAAGTTGTCCTACAAGCTGTAGGACCGCATTTTATCCAGAAAATCTGTTTGTAGGAGTTCTGGGCACCACTTTGATCATAGTTAAACTTTGTTACCAACTTTGTATACCCTTAATTTAAGGCTAGGCCCTTCCTCTTGATTTACTCCCCACCTACCTGCTCTTACCCTGTCTAATAAAAGCCCCTTTTTTACCTACTGATAATGAAATGACGGAAGGGCAGAACATTTCTCGATGGAGGCCTAGCTCTGAACCAAGAGCAAAGAGGTACATAGCTAAGGCTTTTACTGCAAGAATAGTCATTGGCGTCCACATTACTTTAAATAGGACTGAACTGAAAAGGGGTGATTTGCTACCATAAAGGGAGCATCTAAGAATGTACACTATGCCAAGGTAATAATTGAAAAACTTTACTTTTTGTGTTGCATTATTCCTGAAAAATAGCAGTGCACTTCCCCTGCCTAGACCCTCCTGTGCCTTGAGCCTCATAGCTGCACATCTGCAGTGTGAGATCATCTCACTGCTGTCCCTGATGGACAAGAGATTTAAGATTTTGGGATGTTACTACTTTGCTGCTCACTGTTCTCCTGTCTGGAGAGGAAGCTGTACCTGAGAACCTGCAGTGCAAGGATCTCCCTGCTACTGCTTCATTCATTCTGTGTATCTGTTCTCCATCCACCATTTAGATCTCCAGTGATTGAGGGGCTGCTCTGACAAAAGACAGCAGAGCCCTGCCCCTACTAAGATGGCCACCTCCACACAGAGACACAGTGCAGAACAAGCCATGGTAAGTTGGTAATCGGGAAAAGATTGTCTGCAGGGAGACCACAGGCAATACGGCTGATGAGTCCTTTGCCCTCTGCTTGTTCTTTTGGGGTGCAGGTTCCAAAGTTCAGTTCCTCTTTGAAGTACAACGTGGGTTATGTCAAAAATATTATATAAATAATTTTTATTTAATTTTAAACAATTTAACTTTTATTTCACCATGGCAATGGACTATATTTTATAGTCCAGATTCCCAGATTTTTAAACCTCCATTCCTGTATTTGGTTTATCTAGGTGACTATGTTAATGAAAAGAGTTTCCTACAGTTCTGATGAGATATGTAAAGCATGTGTTTAGGTACACTTGCACACTTACATGGCCATCATCTCCAGCCCTGCCTATGTCCACCTTTACCTTCTTCTCACAGTAGCCATTTTTACTAAGGGCAGATTAATCTATCTCCCTTTACTTCCTGGATCTGGCACATGTGACTAGGACATGTGACCATGCACATCATCTCAGGGGAGGAAAATACCTTTCACTGAGATTTTGTGAGATTACATATGAGATTTCCCAGCAAGGCTCTGCTGATGTAACCTTCCCAGGATGCAATGCTTGGGCACATTACATCACTTTTGTCAAAGAGAACCAGGAAGTCGAAAACAAGAAATTGTAAGTAAAATGAAAATATGTTTGTTTAGCTAATGAATGTAAGATGTTTTCATATCAGTATACAGAGCTGTATGCTGAGGTGATTTTTAGCCAAAGGGGGTACAGGTCTGCTTTAACAGACATTACCTTTGTACATGACTTCAATGATTTCATAGACACGGATTTAATAAGTGTACCATGGACATAGCTCAGGATTCATATCACATAATGGGTTAGATGTGGGAGTGGATGTTTCCATTTCGCCTAGGATAGCTCCCCAAATGTGATGCTTCCTATTTACGGTCACAACACAGGACAAACATTTACCTAGAAGCATGGATGACCACTTTTATAGTAGGGATTAAATCCTCCACCAGAAATTCATTACTGTAGCCACCATCTGCCATGTCCCCTGTTCCGGCATCTACAGAGAAAGTAAGATAATTAGCTAGACATAGTTTCAGAAATAAGACTACAATGCAGTCTCGCCACTTCCTGCCTGATGAAAGCACTTTTTTAATTTTTTTTATAGTTCCTTCTCACCATAACCTTCTGAGTTATACTTAACAAGCCATATCATGTAGAAGTCATGGTTTCCATACACTGTACTAAGGATGGCCAACAAGCCTGAAACCACTTTTTGCCATTTAAGATACATTTTGGAACAAGATTAGGCTGTGCCTATGCTAGACACCTGTGGATTTGTATAATTAGCCATTGGCACTTTACCCACTATCCTAAAATGAGGACCAATCCCCTTATTTTTGGCATATTAGAGCCAATGAGACGTGTATGCCTTCTGTTCTAAGAGGCTTTTCTGTGCTATCTTTTATAGCAAAATAAAAATTCCTGTTTACAAGCAGTCACAAAGGCCATCAAAATGTAGCTTGTTCACATACAGAATGTGACCACATTTTCAAAGCCTGCTTTAATGTCTCTTCAAGTTAATAATCCTGCTTCACAACAAGTCTGTTGCCAACCACCTAAAAGTTTATGGGCAGTCTACAAAAAATAATTGCTAAATAATGCCATCAGTAAAAGCTAAACTCCAGGCCGATATAAAAAATTACACTTTCTTTATTGGTCATTAAGAGACACAGACGCAGGAGTAAATAAGAGACAACTGGGTTGTACTGCTGCCTTCAGGAGGAACAAGAAAGCCATTGGCCAACCAGGTATAACCTCCCACTGCCATTATGCTTCAATCTTTTCCTTAGTGTCCTACCATAATTGATGCTCTTTCTCCCCAGAAATAGCATTTCACCATTTTTCTAGACATTTTTAACTTTTATCAAGAAAATGTTATCCCATGGATACTCCATGGATGGTCTGGATCAACATTTGGCCTATCAAGGTACAAATTTCAGCTTTTGTGAATCCTTTCCAAAAAAATACTTGCCTTTCATGGGCTTTCAACCTGGTTCTGCTAGTCCTTCAAGAACTGCCCTTTGAACCTATTAAAGTTATTCCTCTGTCAGCTCTCATGACAAGGTGGCCTTGCTCATTGCCACCAAGGCTAATTTCAGATTTACTGGCCTTGGCTTGTAAACAACCTTTTTCTTTTCTGCACTAAGGCAAGAATGTATTGAGGCTTAGAGCCTCCTTTCTCTATGAGGTGATTTCTTCCTTTCACCTTAATCAGGACATGGTGCTTACAGTATATCCCTCTGTCCTGCTGCTATATACCAAAGAAATTTGAAATGTCCCTCCATTGTCTGGATGTGCTAAGAGCTGTTCATGTTTCTCTCTCAGCTACATCTTCCTTCAATTAGAATAACTCTCTGTTTGTCATTCCTGAATAAAGGACAACCCGGCTCTTGTTCCAAAAGTTCTATACAGACAATACATGGCTGTATTCATTTGTGACTTTCATATCTGCTTAGAAAATGGAAGGTCTCTCTGCACTCCTTACAGCGTTCCCGGCCCAAATTGCAATGGTGGTGCTCGCAGTGATAATCACGGATGGCTCAGTGCACATCAACAGTAGAAAGCAGGAATCGCCAGCACTCAGTAAATAATATTCAAGTAATAAAGTCCATTTATTCGGACAGGTTGTCACAAACGAAATACCAACGTTTCAGGGCCGCACGGGGTCTCTTCATCAGGGTGATAATGTGACCATCACATGATAATGTCACATTATCACCCTGATGAAGGGACCCTGTGCAGCCCCGAAACATTAATATTTCGTTTGTGACGACATGTCTGAATAAATGGACGTTTATTACTTGAATATTATTTACTGAGTGCTGGTGATTCCTGCTTTCTACTTTTATATCTGCCTGGACATCAGCTTTATATTTCACATGTTCAAAATCCATTTCAGCATTTCTCAGCTCAGTCCTACATAACACCGTTTTACAAATGCTACTTAAAAGAGATGGATGTTTTTGCAACTATAAATAGACCCCTATATACTATAAACATTACATCGGGTGACAGGGTGAAACATCAAAGCTTTACATGTGAAAAACTGTTATTACCTTCTGAACTTTGCCAGAAGGCATAGGCTTTCATCCTTAGTGCAGTGCGGAATCGCTCCTTGTTGCTCACTCCCATTGTTTTTGGCTCTTTGGAGGGGCTCTCTTCAACACCTTCAATGTTTAGTGGGGAAAAAGTTTTGGCTTTTGGACTGGTCCCACGGGGATTGGACAAACGTACTCGGTCTAGAAGACTCCACCTTTGACTGTAAAGGAAAAAACAAAGTTGTACACTCAATTAAATATTATGCATGAACAAATGTGATCAAACAATCTAAAATATTCATAGATAGGCAAATGTCCCTAGAATGATGGTTGGAGAGATATCTACAGGTCCTCAACTGTCACCAGTTTTCAAGAGCATAGAAACTGATTATTTGCAACAATTATCAGGAGCTGCACTTGATTTTACAAGTTAAATTGACCACTACTGCTTTGCTAGATTCTTCACAAATATACAGCATATGTAAGAGACTCTTAGACAACAGTAGCTTGGCTGGAAGGTCAAGTATAGCTAATTATCTACTGTGGAGAGAATGGCCTGTGGAGGCAACAGAGCAGTAAAGTACCAACAGATCAAGCAAGGCCTACTCCAACCCTTGTTGCAAATTAAATTTTTCAGATAGGCAAGTTTGGTGGAGTAATTCTTGTGTCCACGTACACTAGATCTTTAAAATTAGCATTCTGTGTGCTGTATGGATATCTCAACAAATGTATTTTGAAATTGCAATAATTGCTGGAAATTAGTCAAAAGGAGACAGCAAATTACCCTCACCGTACCGAGTGTACGCACTAGCCAAGGTCAGTTAAGAGAGAAGATGCACTGATATTTTGGACAGCTAAACACATGTCTGTCAAGAAAACACCTCAAACCTACAACTTTAATCTAGAGATCAGGTTATCAAAGATGGACAGGGTACCTGATGCCCAAAAGGAGCAAAAAAGAGGAAAGCTATGTTCTGTGCCGTGAACTACCAATGATGGGTGAACACACTACATATACTATATTGCCAAAAGTATTGGGACACCCCTCCAAATCATTGGATTCAGGTGTTCAGTGAAATTTCCTTGCTACTAAATATTCCACGGTCAACTGTTACTGGTTTTATAACAAAGTGGAGGCAACTGGGAAGTCACCACCTGTCTGCAGAGTCAATAGCTACAGACCTCCAAACTTTGTGTGGCCTTCAGATTGGCACAACAACAGTGCATAGAGAGCTTCATGGAATGGGTTTCCATGGCCGAGCAGCTGCATCCAAGCCTTACATAACCAAGTGCAATGCAAAGCGTCGGATGCAGTGGTGTAAAGCACACCGCCACTGCACTCTAGAGAAGTGGAGACGTGTTCTCTGGAGTGACAAATCACGCTTTTCTGTCTGGCAATCTGATGGATGAGTCTGGGTTTGGCGTTTGCCAGGAGAACGGTACTTGCCTGACTGCATTGTGCCAAATGTGTAAAGTTTGGTGGAGGGGGGGACTATGGTGTGGGGTTGTTTTTCAGTGGTTGGGCATGGCCCCTTAGTTCCAGTGAAGGGAAATCTTAAGGCATCAGCATACCAAGACATTTTGGACATTTCATGCTCCCAACTTTACGGGAACAGTTTGGGGATGGCCCTTTCCTGTTCCAACATGACTGTGCACCAGTGCACAAAGCAAGGTCCATAAAGACATGGAGTGAGTTTGGGGTGGTGGAACTTGACTGGCCTGCACAGAGTCCTGACCTCAACCTGATAGAACACCTTTGGGATGAATTAGAATGGAGACTGCGAGCCCGGCCTTCTCTTCCAACATCAGTACCTGACCTCACAAATGGTCAAACATTCCCATAGACACACTCCTAAACCTTGAGGACGCCTTCCCAGAAGAGTTGAAGCTGTTATAGCTGTAAAGGGTGGGCCTACTCAATATTGAACCCTACGGACTAAGACTTGGATGCCATTAAAGTTCATGTGCGTGTAAAGACAGGTGTCCCAATACTTTTGGCAATATAATGTATATGGTTGGCGCAAAGGAAAAAAGGAAGTACATTATATATCAATATTCCAGTTTGTACTATAGATGCTGTAGTAAATTAAACATGCATCTTTTAAAAACTAATTATTGTAAGGTGTAATTACATGTTGCTATAATTATTCAGTCATGCCCCAGGAAGTAGAAACTGAATTTTCTGAAGTTAAGGGTGGAGATGGGGAGGGATGGCACATTCTTTAGCCAATACCTTAACTGGACTTACACGCAACAGTAAAAAAAACAATTTTGTTTGGATGGCTAAATCAATAGGAACACAAGGGTTGAAATATTAAAAGGAGAACTATGAGGTGAGTGCTTTTCACTCACCTCATAGTTCTAGCCGACCTGTGACAATGAGACTGTCACAGGTCGGCTCAGTAGATCGGGAGGTGAGCGAACACATACCGGGTTCGCTCGCCTCTCGATCCTGTCACGGCTCTCTGCCGTGACAGGGGGAGGGGCTGGATTTCCCTCTCCCCGCTCCGATCTGCCAGCGCTGACTGGCAGAACGGACGGGGGAGGGGGCAGGGACAGCTGGCTCTGCCTCTAGATAGTCAGAGCCAGCTGTCACTCACGCAGCTGGGCGGATCCCGTCATCTAAATCGGGATCCGCTCCGGCTGCGGCGTCTCAGTATAGCACGATCTGTAGCTCGCGCTATACTGAGCTTGGGGTAACGGGAAGACGCTAGTTTGTGTCCTCCCGTTACCCTAAGGAGAACTATGGGGAAAAACACTGACCCCATAGTTCTCCTTTAAGCACAGTGGTTTTCATTGTCCAGCTACAGGCTGGAGGCTGGTCCAGGACAATCTGGGCCCAGAGGAAGTGGGTTGAATGATTCTGGCTATTAGACTGAGAACATATAGATGCAAATAAAAAGTACATCAAGGAAAATCTCTGGATTAAAATTAAATAATGTGGTAAAAACTGGTCCAGATCTTCAGCGTACTGCCCTCCAACAGGCAATTATATTGACTCATGCATTTACAATTTTAAAACGATATTAATGCTTGCAGGAGTCCCACCCAAGTTAACCTCTATGCTAGTTGTAGGTATCACAAACAATCCTTAAAAGAAGAACTCCAGGCAGATAGGGAAAAACACAAATGCAATTATATATTTAGCAAGTAATTCTAAATACAATTAATGTAAGTACTTGAATATGACTTGGTTTCAGCCTCCTGTAATTCTCTGTATAGAAAAAAAGGACAGGGAGCATCAGTACTATGAGCCACTCAGGTGTGCTGTCATAAAACCTTGCCATGACAGTAGAAGAGTGTAGAGGGAGCAGAAAGATGTCTTCATCAGTCTCCTGCTTCTCCTTCATTGTCCAATCACAAGCTGGGGCACAGAGAGGGGGGTCAGACTACACTGCAAGGTCACCAATATGGTGTTTTCCAGTAGGGCTGTGTAAATCTCAGGACTGGATGTGCAGAAATGCAAACCCCTTGCAGGTAGAATAGCTCCTTTATATGAATTGTAACTGCATATGTTCTTGGAGTACAGATTTAAAATAAACGCATGTTTCTGTTCTTGGAGTCTGTGATTTTTATGTTTTTTAATAAAGAGTTGTGTTATACATCTAGAAAAACAAGCAATGCATTCTTCATCAGCTGGATAACGGGGATGTGTGTTAAATCTGATTTTCTTTTAGCACTGCCCAGACTTCTGCTTGAAGGCCAGCTTAACCTTTAAGATGAGCCATTGATTTGCGCATATCAATAAAGTGAACTTGTTGCTTCAGGTTTACCATGCAGGTCTACCTGCTGCACTTATCAAGCCACAATTTTACCCGAGATGAAAGCACACAGGTGCATAAAACCGTTGACCTGGGTAATAGAGGTTGATAGAGTGTCCTTTTAGGAAATTTGCAAACAGGAGGTGAGCTGAATAAAGGAAAATGCCGTTCACATGAACCATACCATCATAACTTCCTATGTCCTGATAATCTCCTGAAACTTTTGTACATGGAATTAAAAGCACTTTTTGCACTGACAATGTCTATGCTACTTTCTTCGCTCCGTACAAAAAATGAATAATAAAAAAAAAGCTAAAAGCTAGATTAAAAAGCATCTTGTGGCTTTGTATGGAGTAAACAAGCGCGGCCATAAAAGACAGAAGAATTTGTGCTGATAAACAATGTAGCAATCCCGGTTTCATCTTTTTTTTCCCCATTAAATACTGCAATTACATCTTCTTTCATGGCATGAAAATTCAAATAGGCCATGCAACATTACAGAGCAATATGAATGCAAATTTGCTTTTCTTTATCCTTGACTTTGTGCGGCCCAAATTTCTCATCTACATTGCCGCAAAATTACATTTTATTTTTGAAGGGAGGAAAGGACACAAGAAGAACAGAGGTTCTCCTAACACTATCAGATGAGTTGGTATACAAGTCTTAACTTCAAACCACCTCTCCCTCCTTTCATTTCATCCCATCTGTTCGGTCTGTCCTACCTTTCTTCTTTACAGAAACGTATGCTGGCTATGGACACTAATGGGTGACTATACTTGCAAACACATCTTGACCACCCTTATGGGAGCCATCCTTATGCTGGTCAATTTTCAGGCAATTTCAAAAACTTTAAAGCAGCTTTTAAGTGCAAAGAATTGGAGGGTGGAGATGCACTTTGACTGCGGCTTCACACTTTCCCTCCTCCTGAGTTCGACCAGTCACCAGACACCAGCGCAGTCACTTGGGATCAGGGAAACAATACTTAGGTCTTTGTAAGCTCTAACCAGAGCCAACTGGATCTAACCAATGGCTACATTTCTTCATGTGTATAGGAATCATCCCCTGAAGGCTCTTCAGAAGCCAACACTTCCAAGAGAGCCGATCTCCTGGTCAGTGGTTCCCCCCACCAACCCCTATGCCATTACTGTGTCCTGCTGTGACATAGGAGTCGGTGGAAAAAACCACAGAGCGCAGCAGGAGGACAAAGGAGATTGATACTTCCAGAAGTGTTGGTTTCTGAAGTGACTTCAGGGGAAAAATTCCTAATCTTCAGGTTGCCATTGGTCAAGACAGGACTAGGGAGAGGTAAATATTTACTGACTTTTGAAGGGGCAGCTTTTACTTAAACTTACTTTCCAACATCAGACTCCCTTCAAGTAATCTGCATTGCAAAGCTTAACTCTAGCCAAAACTTTTTTTTTTTTTTGGGGGGGGGGGGACAAAAGAAAAGTGTTAGAAGC